AGGTTCTAATAGGTTTGAAACAAAGTCTTTATTTCTGTTTGCACATTTTTAGTGGGGCTAATATCTTCCCAAGCTACAGTCTTCCTATTTGGTCCCATTGGAAAGGATTTTGATTTTGAGCAAGCCTCAGCAACCTGTGTCCCTCCAGATGTTGTTGGACTCAACTCCCATCAGTCCCTTCCAGCCACTGTGTCTAGTGGTCAGGGGTGATGGGAGTTGTAGTCTATCTGGTGGGTCACAGGTTCCCTATTCATGATTAGCGTAATGGTGTGGATAAAGCATGTTTTGATTGAAAGAGAAAGCTATCATAGAGTATATTTTGCAAGATATAAGGCCTGCAAGGGGTGGTGGAGGTAATGGCATGGGTTGCCAGATTGTACTAGGTTAGATTACTGCAATGTGTTATATGTAGGGCTGCCTCTGAAGACAGCCCGGAAAACTGTAGCTGGTGCAGAATTTGGTGACTAGGTTTCTCACCAGGACAAGACAGTTTGGGCATATTGCATCAATCCTGGCCCGACTGCACTGGCTGCCAATTAGTTTCTGTGCCCAATTCAAAGTGCTGGTTTTGACCTATAATGCCTTAAACAGCTCAAGACTGCAATAACTCAAGGACTGCCTCCCCCATATGAAATGACCCAGACCCTGAGATCATCATCTGAGGCCCTTCTTCGCGTGCCTCCTCCATGAGAGGTCCTAAGGGTGGCAACAGAAGAAGGGGCCTTTTGGAGGTGGCTTTCACACCTCCAAAAACCATGTTTGGAACGGTCTCCCTTAGGGAGCTTGTGGACTCTCCTTCTTTGGAGGTTTTTAAGCAGAGGCTGGATGGGACAACCTTCTGCTTATTTCCTTCTGGCATCTCAGATTGCATGTCTGCCGTTTCCATTCTGTTCTTGAAGCAAGCTTATGCTACTGATGAATCAAAAGCGTCTCCACACAGGCAGCACCTGGCCCAGTGGGAGGTACATCGCCACTGTGATTGTGAACCTCGTCGTCACAGCAACCCATGTGGGCAGAAGTCTTCTGTTGCTGGTGTGGGAGCAAAGACTGAGAAGAACAGCAACTGCACTGATAATAGAATGTCTATAAAGAGGTTCTAAGACACTAAGCCAAATGCATCACGGAAAAAGCTGGTTTTTAATGCAGGATTTAAAGGAAGGCATCCACAACCTCCACCCCAATTTATCCCATGTATGCAAAATCCTTCAGTGACATGGAGGGGAGGCTTCTCAGTGGAGGTGCCTCAAATTTGACTGGTGCAAAGGCTGTTGAGCTTTCTGCCCCAGTGAAAGATTTTGCTTTTTGCCTAAGTCTTTGCTTTATGCTTTACAGAAATGCATGATGCTTTAGGAGAAGGAAAACTTTGATCCTAAACTTCCACTGCCTTGCGGCTATACTCATTTGTGAGAAAGGCTTCTGGAGAAAAATCTGTATCCGCTGCCTTGCAGGACATCTTCGGGAGAAGGAATGGCTAAGGAGTAAACCCTACACAAATCTGGAGTCCCTGAGACAGTTGTAGGTCTCCTTCTGGCAACTCCTGCAGGCAAGTTGGTGCCAAATGTATTGCTCTGCTTTCCGTTAGACCACATCAGCAAGGTTAAGCGGGGGGTCTTGTCATCTGGCCATTCCAGGACCTGCACAAACACTGCTCAGGCTTGTTCCCTGGAGAGGCCACTTCAGTGCTGCTAATGCAGCAATGTGGGAGGCAGGAGTTGTAAGTTACTGGTCTCCGCAGCCACAGCAGGCATTGTGATTCTCCAGCGGTTTGACTTCACCCCTGGAGGCGCACTCCATTGTCTCTCAAGACAGATGGATGGCCAACAGGAAAAATATGTTTTAACTTTTAACCTGCCCTGAAATTGCTTAGAATGAAGAGCAGGATCTAAATGATCTAATAATGAAATAAAGGATTTCAAATGAATAATTGGAACTTTGGAAGCTGCCTTACACCGGGTCAAGCCAACAGTTAATCTTGTTTACACAAATTGGCAGCGGTTTTCCAGGATTTTGGACAGCAGTCTCTCTCCCAGCCCTACTGGGAGCTGCCGAGGATTGGACCTGGGACCTTCTGCATGATGGTCAGCTGATGCTCTGCCACTCAGCTACAGCCCTTTCCCACAGTACCATGCCCACTCCAGTGTGTGCGGACTTGTAATGAGGGGTCCTGCTGCTTTAAACCCAGCAGAGCCGTGCTAGAAGCAGCACTGGGATCACATCCTCATGATGCAAGACCCTATTAATCACAGCTGAGGGCGACAGGTTGATTCATAGGGTGGTGGTTTGAGACAAGGTCTTAATATTGTACACAGTTCATTCAGTTGTCATAAAAAGCGGTCACTGATGAGAGGGGCATTTTTAAACATCAGATCACATCATTCCCCTTGACAGGGCAAATCCAGATTAAATTGAGGTGGGGGAGTGCTGGCATTTTGGTGCCCATGATGTCAGGTAGTTGGTAGGGGACACTATGGTCTAAACCACTGAGCACCTTGGTCTTGCTGATCAGAAGGTTGGTGGTTCGAATCTGCACGAGGGGGTGAGCTCCCATTGCTCTGTTCCTGCTCCTGCCAACCTAGCAGTTCGAAATCACACCAGTGCAAGTAGATAAATAGGTACCGCTGTGGCAGGAAGGTAAATGGCATTTCCATGAGCTCTGGTTTCCATCACGGTGTTCCGTTGCACCAGAAGCAGTTTAGTCATGCTGGCCATATGTCTGTGGACAAACGCCAGCTCCCTCAGCGAGATGAGTGTCGCAACCCCATAGTCGCCTTTGACTGGACTTAACCCTCCAGATGTCCTTTACCCTTTTGGACTTTCTTAGGTGGTTTGTGCAAAAAAATTACATGCACAAAAGCACCCATCCCCCAATAAACGCCCATTTGGAAATGCCACCACTTGGCATGTTCAGGACTCTCCTTATGTTTGTGTACAAGGTTATTTTTTAAAAAATAAAAATCCAAATCAATGTTTGATTTAACAAAGAGCCAAAATACAAACAAACTCTTTCATTTATGTGTGTTACACATCCCTGCCCCAAGAGGCGCATCTGCAGATCTGTGCCAGCAACATCTGCCCAGACCCAGCAGTGGGATGGCTAAGATTATTGTCTGCCTTCCTAACGGAATTCCTGCTTCTCTTCCTTTCACACACAGATAGGAGGCTATTTATCAGGTCATCTAGCAGAACACAGAGATCTGTGCGGTTTGTGGGAGGGGAGGGGAAGAGGAGGGAAGCCTTGTCACTTGGTATATCCTTCAACCCAGGCAAAGAGGAAATTAGTTTCCATGCGCTTTATAAAAAGCATTGAAACCAAACAATGGCAGCCACACAGCTGGCTTTTAGAAATCTGATGTCAACAAGACCAGAGGCATGCACTTCGGGGCTTTGTTGGTTTGTTTGGGTTTTTTTTTAATCTCAGGAAGGATTTGCAAAACAGAGTGTGCTTGATGAAACTGGCAAAAGGGGCAGAAGAAGCCAATAACTCAGAGAGGGTGAGAGGCAGCCGATGCCAGCAACTTCTGCTTCAGATATCAGCAGATCCACGCTACACATTTAAAGTATATCCTATGCATATTTAAAGCACATGACCTCCTTCAAAGAGTCCCGGGAACTGTAGTCCCGCCCCCCACAAAGCAGCACCCTTAACAAACCACAGCTGCCAGGGTTCTTGGGGAAAATCTGTATGCTTTAAATGTGTGTTGAATTTGCTGTAAATGTATGGTGTGGATCTGCCCTATGCCAGCCTTTTGAAGAGTGAGTCACAGCTTGAACTTCCAGAGGAGCTACACAGAGAACACTCATCAGTGGGGAGGGGGGAATATCTCCTGCATCCCAAGAGATATGAGCAAGAACGTTCTGCTCTCCACCAACCACCTTGGGCACAGATACACCAGCAGACAGCAGCAATGAAAATAAGAAAATGTGTGGACTTATGAAGTCACCATTTGACATCCCACCTACTGCTAGGCAGTGCTTCTCTGAGTCTCTGTGGTGATGTAGGAACATGTCTCAGTCTGTTAAGATATTGATTTGCACTTTCCTCTGGTATTTTCCATTCTGCCGCAACTAGTTTATTTTGCACAGGGGATCCGGGTAAAAGTCGGACGCAGCAGAATTAATCTGAGCCTTGAAAAGCACATAGAGCTGAACGAGAAAGTGGGAACGCATATTAAGACGCAATTTGCCTAGGACAGCAAAACAGCAGGCATTGGTCTAGTCTTCTTCCTTCCTGCACTTCTTGTGTTTGTGTGTAGCATCAGCTCACTAGCAAATAACCAACACCTTGGCTGCATACATGCCATACATTTGGAGCACATGGCTTCCCTCAAAGAATCCTGGGAATTGTAGTTTAGTCATTTCAGAGCTCCAGTTCTCAGCAGCCCTAAAAACTGCACTTCCCAGGATGTTTTAGAGGGAGGTCATGTGTTTTCAAGGTGTTTTACATGCTTGGTGTGTGCATGCAGCCTTTGCATGCATTGTTAATGGCCTCTGGATTTGTCTCCTTTCAACTAGAATTATGAGAGTAATGGATTTTCCCGAAAGCTCTTTAATCTTGCTCTCAGGGTGTGCCTTTCCATTTATAGCTTAAACACCTCAAGACTCCATTTCTCTTAGCAATGTAAACAGTGATTCTTCCGCGCCTCCTCCTTTCGGGAATCAATCCAGCTGCCTTTCTTAAACCACCCTAATGTTTTCTTAAGAAATTCATTGGCTTTCAGATGCGCTAAGTGTTGTTCTTGTCAGAAGTGTTGCACGTGTCAGAAACTTCCAAAGGAGAAGAAAGGAAGAGGAAAAGCCAGGCTTGCTTTGTAGCAATTAACATCATCCAAGGGGATTTTCGTTCTGCAGAGATGGGATCTTCCTGATTTCCTTAGCTCCCACACTGCATTTCCTCATCTGACGTAAGTTGTCCAGATGGTTGAAAGCAAGAGATGCCCAGGTCGTTAATGTTCTAAATTTGAAGTCACACTCTTGGAGGGGAATAAGGAGATCAGAAGGACGCCTTCAATTTTTTAAATTTTTATTTATAAAGTTAAGCACTCCCCAGTTCTCCGTGCAGAGAGAGTTCCAGCGACAGTGGGGATTAGTTTACTTTTCCTTCAGATGAGACAGAATAAGAAGGGCTTATAGCCTATTCATAATATCTGTTTTGATTATAAATATATAAGCAGAACATGGCAGAAGCAATTAGACTCCTGAAGCAGGGAACACTTTCGCTAATCCCGGTATAGGTAAATGTGCACACAGTCTCCCTTCAACTGCTTCCAGTCTATCTGATACCAAACCCAAGCTTTCTATAAACTGTTTTTCTTCCTTCCTCCATTCTATAAATATATTTCAGTGGTGTGCTTCTTTTGTCCCACTGGGCTCCTGATCAGAAGCAGCTCATCCAGCTTCGGCCACAATGCTAGATTCATAGCAGTGGGGTCACACTGCCACTTACCTACAAGGAGGAGCCAATCCTGTGCTCCCATTGGTGGGTCCACACTGAGGTGCCCTCCTTGCCATGTTGCCTTTTGCCCTTCCATTAAACTGCAGTGGCCCTGCTGCCAGGAAGCTGCCATTGTGTCTCTCCACCCCAGCTTGTTTCAGGCAGAACCAGGCTCCAGCCGATCCAAACTGGATTTCTAGGACAGGGCTGATCTGGAGTTCCACATCGGGTCACGGAGTGTGTGTGTATACAGTCATAGTTGGTGAAAGCTGAATAGAAAGAAGAGGAGACATGAGAACCTATTTTAAAATACTAACTTTTAAAGCTGCCTCGGCATTTCTCTAATGCAACTGTATTAAAGAAAGCCAAGTTGGAAATCTTGCTGTGAGCCCTTAGTCTTTCTGAGCACTGCTATCAGGAAACTGTACTTGTCCAACAGACTGAAGGTAAGTTGAAAGCAGCAGGATTTTAATCCAAGGGATAAAGTGAAAGTGAGAGAAAATGAGTAGCAATTAGGTTTCAGCTGATCGCCTTCCCTCTGGGAAATTAACAAAAAGTCCTTCCGCTGGGATCTTGTTGAAGTTCAATTCTCTAGCGATAAGCTTTTTACTTGTTCTTCAACACCGTAGCACAGAACATTTCATTCTGGCTCGAGACAAAGGATTTCCAAGCAAGCCCCTGCATGTTTAAGAGGATGCCCACAGTGTATTAATTCAATACCTCCAGCACGTTCGGTTTTGAGTTTGAAATGCAATGAATTCCTACCCCCAATTCCATTTGGATGTTGCAACTTGCTTTCAGTGCAAATGAACAATCTTCCGCTTTCTGAGTCTGGTTATTCATTCGCTGACCGTTAGCAAAAACATTTTAAAAATAGACACAAACATGCCAAATGAAGTGATAAGATGTATGAGACCTTTTGCACCGTTGGTCAATGATTTTCAAGCGATGATGGGACGAACTGCAATACCGTCTGAAGTGAATCAGTAACCATTTGAAAGGTACAAACCGAGAGGAAGTTTACAGATGCACATCCAGATAGCCTATCATCTCATGGAACATCAACAAACAGTATTTATTCAGGAGAGAAGCTCACGAGGACTGTTGCATTCCAGAGGGAATGTGATGATCTTATGATCTCATCATGTCAGTGCAGTTTAAGGATTACTTCACCATGACAATGCACATTCCTGTCTCCTAACATTTGGATGGTAGGTACCAAATGGATGACTAACCTCTGGTATTCATAGATGTCTAATTCAAGAAACAAACTTTCCCCTACAATAATCCTCACTGGGTGCTCTGGCTTGCCCCCACAACTGAGGAGAGCGGTCAATATCCAACAGTTTCACATGGCTCTTTGAAACTTTTCTACCTATATTGTGAGTAAAAATGGCCTCAGAAAATTATCCAATATTAAACTATACTGGGTTGGGTATACTTGAAATCCTCTATTGGATAGAAAGGTTGAGAAAGTGGAAGGGTGTTGAATATTATCCAGTGGATCCTAGCATTCTCCTACAGCAGTGGTCTGCAGACCCCAGCAGGTCCGAATATCCCACACAGGGAGTCCGTGGCACCATCCACATAACAAAAATACCATAAACATTTTCAAAAATAGGGGGTCCATGTCTTGGCTTTTGAAAAACAAAAACTTAGCTAATTGGGAACCACTATCCTACAGCATTGCAGGTAGGAGGGAGCCCCGATCAAGGGACTTCTCAAGATAATTTCTCAGAATATTCTTTACTCAGCTCTAAACTCAGAGTTCCTGAAATCTCCATCTCATGTGAATGGGCATGAGGTATTATGGTAGGTTCATGTTGAGAATGAAGAACGACATACTCCCCAGAACTCTCCTTCCTTCTGTCATGAGAACTACAATGGAATTTTTAAAAATGAGGGCAATGGCACCAAACACACTGAAAATTTCATAGAAAGTGAAGAGGATTCTGGCCAAAATTCCTGAAATTGCACATTTGGCTTCTACAACTAGGGAATGGAGGACTCATCCTATCTTTGTATAAAAGATGCATTCTAGAAAATATTCCAGACCATCTTCTGTCACCTTTTACCTTGCAAAGTTTTGATCACACTGCCTCATGTAACAAGCCTTCAATCCAGAAAACGCACTTTGTACTTTATTATCACAGTGGGACTTTCCCGCCTGCAGCCTAAGCAGGCAATGGCATCTCAAGGGCTGTCTGTTTATTGATTTTCTGAGATAGCACACATTATTTCAAAATGTACCAACAAATGCCTTCAACCATCAACATGCTAGAAAAGCCCCGCTGTATAGATAAAAGCTTTCTTTGCGTCTTCTGCCATTTTTTCTAAATAATTGGTTTCCAGATGAAAGAAACAGAATATTGACAAATTCTGACACATCCATACAAATGCCTTAAAGGTAAAAAATGGGTTTTATTTTGTTTCCTGTTTCAGAGGAGACTTCATGTAGCTAGCTCTGAGAGAAAATTAGCATAGCATTTTTTTCGTGCTGTGTTGAACATTTATCCTGCATTTTGCCTCGCCTTCCCCACCAATTAATGAAAAAAGAAATTGCATTTGAAAATGGTTCAAGGGGAGCAAAAATTCTCGTGGAAGTCTCACGGGTGAGGTGCAGGTATTGTTGTTGAGCTTCACTTACTTCCAAGGTAGCTGCAGGGTGTTTTTGAGTGCCCTTCCTTTCATTCTGTAAAACATCTCTTTGGTGGTTTGCACTCTGCGGCCTTCTGCTTGTGGGCACAATTCAAAGTGCTGGTTATGACCTATAAAGCCCTATACAGCTTAGGCCTAGGCTATTCTCTCATACAAAGCTGCCTGGGTTTTTCAGACTCTCCCAAGTCTCCCTATTTTCCAGGGACAGTACTAGATTTTCAGAAGCCTTCCTCTTTTCTGAATTGAACCCAGAATGTCCTGCTTATTCTCAGGACGTCCATATTTTCATCTGAGAAATGTTGGAGGGTATGGAATAATGCGACTCCCCAAGCCAAGGAGATAGCCACAACCTTTAGAAGACATTTGAAGGCAGCCCTGCCTTGCCTCAGAGAAGCTCTGCGTGGGCCTAGATAAGATCATAGGACCAGTGACATGACCTAGAGAGAGATAATGGCATGGGAGGCGGGGCCTCCTGACGGTTGGCAGGTCACATTTGGCATCTAGGCGTGTGTCTTCTCCACCGCCAAAACTGAATTATAATCTGGAAAGTTATCTCTTGCCTTACAGGAAGCGACAACACGGGGCACAGGAATGGCTTGTGCTTCCTCTCTTCACACTTGTGTGATAATTTGTAAAGGAGAACTGACACGTCTTTCCTGTGGCAGATAGGTTTTCGAGCTTCGAATGTGAAAATAAACTTGTATATCTACAAGGAGGGGGGTGCATAATGTCCAGTGCTCCCCCGGCTGTTGTCCAGCAGTAGCAGTAGGAGAAAATGGACAGCAGGCCTTCTTTGGCTCAGCTGAGAGACCAGCACCTTTTGCCTGCTTGAATTTTTACCATTCCGTCTGGTTCTTTGGGGAACTTCAAGAACTCCAAGAACTCCTGGATTTGCATTTTTCCTCCTCCTTCACAATACCTTTCCCCCTGCTTTTGTGCCACGTCTTTTAGACTGTAAGCCTTCAGGGCAGGGACTGTCTTAATATTTGAGATATCTGTAAGGAACTCTGACAGTCTTTTCCCCCAGGGCAAAATGCCTTCAGTAAATAAATAAACATTTAAAAATTTTTTGCACATTGCAACAGAATAACGGGAAGAGGAAGAAAAATTTGCCCCGATACACTGCTCCTGTAGCGTAAGGCTGAGCCATGGCCCTAGAGATCAGAAGAGAACTCAGGAGACCTGCAGAGCCAGGGTCAAACAAGTTGACCCCCTTCCCTTGTGAAACAAGGAGACAAGATTATTTGAAAAAGAGAAACTCAACAGACCTCTGGGGGCATGATGGAGAGGAAACCTATTGATTTTTTTACTTTCCATTTTCTCCCCTACTGTCCTTTTGTCCTTATTGATTTAGCCCTATATTGATCCAGCCCTCCCACTTCATGCTACCCTGGCAAATGACTAGGTTGTTGAAATCGGCCATTTACTACTGCAGCAGCATGTACCTTTCATAAATCTTGGTTTATTACTATTACTACTGGTTCTTCCTTTTAGAGAACTTCCTCGCTTCCAGGTAATCACATTCGGTCTAAATATAAACCTCTGGGCCTGTCCTACCAGTAATCTCCTCCAAAGACTGTGATGCACAAGATACCATCTCTATTGGATGGTGCAACATCATTTCTACTAACACTGATTAAGTTGTTGGCATGCTGGCACAAAACTGCACTATAAGCTTCCTTTTCCTCATATCCTACCCTCCTCACATAGAGCAGCAGATATGGGGATCTCAGTCTCCCACCCTACAAAGCCCAGGCTTGTCTACTGTCAAATATAAAGGCACATCAGATACCATTTGCTGAGCTACGTGGTTGCTACATCACAAACTATCCTGTCCATGCAACACTCACATATCTTACTGCAAGGGTGGGGAGCCGGGAGCCCTCTGGAAGAGGTTAGACTCCAGCCAGTGGTGTAGGAAGGGGGCGTGTTGTGTGCGGACTGCCCCTGGTGTCATCACTGAGGGGTGTGTGTGACAAAATGGCAAAAATATGTGTGTGTGTGTGCTTTTTAAAAAAATTGGGCTCACAAAACCGCTTCCGAACTTGAGAGAAGGTGGAGTTGCGGGCTTCACTCCCTCTCCATGTGCGCGGGGCTGGCTCTCAGCCTCCGCACGATTGAGGGGATCCCTGGCCGCGTCATCCCCTGGCCAGCCAATCGGCTGGCCTAGGGGGAGCGTGGCTTGCGCGATATCACACTGCCACAGCCAGGGATCTCCCTCTTTTGCCACCTCAGCTCATCGGTGGTTAACCCTTCCCGGTCTTCAAGCAATCGGGCTGAAGCCAGATAGTCGGTTAGGACCAATGCCTAAGCCAATACCGCTCATTCCTGTAACCAATAAAGTTGTGGCCATTTTTTGCCCATTAACCTAAATATTTGTGTCATGTGTCTTTATTTCCACCGGGGGGAGGCGGGAATTTGCCACGCAACACTTTTTTTTTGAAAAACAACAACTCATTCACACACACCCCGCACCCCCTTCCTATGCCACTGGCAGCTAGGTGAGGCAGGGGGCACTGGGTGCCACACTGCAGGGCCTACAGCATGCCTGAGCCATGCGTCTCTCCTGAGGGGGAGGCAGTGGGCAGACTTCCTTGCTGCTTTTTCGAGCAGTGGGGGCTTGCATCTGCCCACCGCCTCAGCCGCACTACAGCTGAGGGGGAGGCTGCGGAGAGGCTCCACGCAGTGCGTCCTGCCTTGGCTCACCCCGCCCTCACGGACAGCTTGCCCTGCCTCCGAGGGCGGTGTGCTCCACCCACACCCCACCCCCGCTGCAGGATGCATGCGCAGCTGCACCGGGAACCTGAGCGGCTAGTTTTGCCGCTGCCTCCAGCTGCCATTAGCCCCAGCAAGGATGGCCTGTGTCAAGGATAACGTAAGTGTAGTCAGTGCTACTTTTCTAGAAAAAGAGGTGCTGGAACTCACCATGAACACCTCCATTGTTCTTTTACAATGGCAATGGCGTCCACCTGGGAGGTGTCGGAATAGAGTTCTGGGGAGTTCCAGCTGAAAAAAAGCCCCGAGTGCAGCACAATAATGCACTAGCCCAGATAATGGTGAGATCCATTCCCAAGAAACACTTGGAGATGTTCTCCTCCTTCTAAAATTGATTTCTCCAGTTTCCCTGCCCACAAATAAGATGGAGAATTTTGAGAGGCTGATTGCACAAAGCTCTGTGTGGTATTACTGACTGGCTGCAAATCCTATATAGTGGTACTTCGGGTTACGAACTTATTTCGTTCCGGAGGTCTGTTCTTAACCTGAAACTGTTCTTAACCTGAAGCACCACTTTATCTAGTGGGGCCTCCTGCTGCCGTCACACTGCCCTCGCACGGTTTCTGTTCTCATCCTGAAGCAAAGTTCTTAACCCGAGGTACTATTTCTGGGTTAGCGGAGTCTGTAACCTGAAGTGTCTGTAACCTGAAGCGTCTGTAACCCAAGGTACCATTGTATAGAGACAAAGTCCCAGACTGCTCTGCCACCTCTTCCCTTTTGTTTGAGGTCCAAAATGCATGTGTTCTATTTCTGTTATCCTCCAGTAATAGGGATACTGTATTATATTCTCTGAGACTGGCATACAATAGATTTTTTTTTCTGCCAAAGCTCCACAGATACAAAAAAGGCATGAAATTGGATTCTGTGTCTTCTAGGGTATTTCTGAATAAATGGAAAGCGCTGCTTCAAATGTGAGCAGATCCCATTAGCCCTGTGATCACTGACCCAAGAGGTTTCTAGTCTTGCCCCCTCTCCTAGAATGAGAAATGCAGCTTCGCCATGTGTCACGTTGAGGCAGCAGTCAGACCAGCCTATATCTCAGAGTCCCCCAAATCAGTTCTTTGTAGGTTACAAGAGAGAGAATATTGAATTGTCCTTACTGTGTTCTGCAAATGATGCAACCGGACAATAGATTTGCAGAGCAATGAAGTACAGTATATACTTACAAGTATACTTATCAAGAATACAGGATACATTGGGTTTAAATGCAATTACCATTTACAGTGGTACCTCAGCTGTCGAACGTAATCAGTTCCAGAAGACCGTTCGACTTCCGAAACGCTTGACAACTGAGGCGCAAAGGGCTGTCTCCAAAGTCAGTGGAGAAAACTGGGGGGAAAAACCAAAAAACGCAGCAGAAGCCGTTCGACTTCCGAGGCGCATTCAAAAATGAAAGCAATTGCTTCTGGGTTTTCGGCATTCAAAAACCGAAACCTTCAGCTTTTGAGACGCTCAAAAACTGAGGTACCGCTGTATATTGCTTTGCACTTGACATAGGGATAAGCAGAGCAGAAGGGCTGGTAAGGGCAACTGATGGGCTGCTTTGCTGGGTGTGCAGTAGTTGTGCTCAGTGCATGGCTGTTTAAAAGAAGGTCACACTAAGGATATATTACTAAGAACTTTCGAGTGATAAGAGGAAGATTAATTGCTTCTTCTATTTACAACTGTTGTTTGTGAAGGCATCCAAGGCTTCCAACGGAGATATATAATGCTGAATTCACAAATGCACACATAAAACGTTAAAAAAAAAAAATTTAAGCTGAGCCCACAACTCCAGGGCAGTTCAAACCGGGCTTGCAATGGTTTTATAACTAACCAGTTCTTAGAATCATAGAATCTTTTTCCCCAATGTTGGGCTCGAACCCACAACCCTGATATTAAGAGTCAAATGCTCTACTGACTGAGCTATCCCTTCTCCACTTCTTGACGTGGATGTCCTTGCACTGTGCTAAATGTGTGGCACTGTTGCTGTGTTAAATTGTTTTTATCATTATACTTCTTTTAAAAAGGTTCTATTTGTGCATTTGTTTTAACTGTTTTTATACCTTGTAGCTTGATTTATATATGTTATTATATTAGGAATGGCTTTGGGATGCCTCACAGGAAACTATTCATAAATAAAATAAATAAAGATGATGATATTTCTATTGGCAATTGGCATTCTAAGATGGGGTGGAGAATCTGTGACCTCCAGATGTTGCTGAACTGCAACTCCTATCAATGCCAGCCAGCATGGCAAAGGGTCAGGCATGATGGGAGCTGGAGTCCAAAAACATCTGGAGGGAAGCAGGATCCCTATCTCTACTGTAAGACTTTAAGGCTGAAATCCGAGACCCACTTACCTGGGAGAAAGCCTCACAGGCATCAATGGGATTTACTTCTGAGTAGAAAGGTATAGGATTATGCCAGGCATAGGCAAACTCCAGCCCTCCAGATGTTTGGGACTACAATTCCCATCATCCCCAGCTAACAGGGATGATGGGAATTGTAGTCCCAAACATCTGGAGGGCCGGAGTTTGCCTATGCCTGGATTATGCTGTGAGACTCCTGTCCTTTTTTTTTTTTAAATAATATTTATTAAAGTTTCACAGAGAAGGAATCACATTAATAAAAAAGGAAAATTTAAGAATAAAAGGAAAATACACAATACAAAATACAAAAAGGAAAAAGAAAAAACAATTAAAAACAATTCCATCTTTTCATAACTTCTTTTACATTTACTTGTTTCCTGGACCTCCTCATACCTCCCTCTTTTGTATTCCAATTCAGTTTGTTAGTCCAGCAATTTCTTTCCCTCCTTTTTAGTCCCAATCCTTAATCCTAATATATTATAACATTAAGTTTTTACCTATTAAGAACCAATTTTTCCGTTCTTTTAACCTTTTTAATCCTAATCCTTAATCTTGATATATTTATAACTTTAAAACCTGTACAGCTAGAAGCCACTTAGCTTCAATCCAACATCACTCTAACATTCATTAATTTTGCAATATTTCTGTAAATAATCTTTAAATTTCTTCCAATCTTCTTCCACCGACTCTTCTCCCTGGTCACGGATTCTGCCAGTCATTTCCGCCAATTCCATGTAGTCCATCATTTTCATCTGCCATTCCTCCAGTGTGGGTAGCTCTTGTGTCTTCCAATACTTTGCGATGAGTATTCTTGCTGCTGTTGTAGCATACATAAAAAAAGTTCTATCCTTTTTTAACACCAATGGGCCGACTATGCCCAGGAGAAAGGCCTCTGGTTTCTTCAAGAAGGTATATTTAAATACCTTTTTTAATTCATTATATATCATCTCCCAGAAAGCCTTAATCTTTGGGCACGTCCACCAAAGGTGAAAGAATGTACCTTCAGTCTCTGGTGAGACTCCTGTTCTTACTGTGTTTCATTCTGGCATGCTTTCCTGAAGAGGAGGGGCAAAAGAGGGCAGAGATGTGCATATATATGCAATTTATATATGCAATTTAAATTTTAATTATTTCTAAATTTGCATTTATACATGTAAATTGGTGCGCACAAATCTATGTCCTTTTTTGTAAAATTGAACTGAAATACAGCTGCCATAGTGGAGAAGATTATGATCTCGTGACCTGTGTTCCTGATCAGTCTTCTGCCCAAGTGCCCTTCATGGGCATTACATGACCCCAGCCCTCCCTCCTTATAGCTCTTTATCACAAGCCACACAACCCACCAAACAGAGGAGTCCTTCAAATAGAGGACTGTCCTCTTCAAGTAGGGCACATGGCGACCCTACATGGACACCTGGCGGTATGATAAAACCCCACAATGTTTTCATTGGGGAGGTCTTTTAGAACAAAGCAATGTGCTGATTTTATCTTTTGCAATGCCTCCTTAGAGCATCTTTCCATGAAAAGCTCTTGCAATATAACAGATGGCTAAGCACCAAGGAAGCAGGGTTATTATTAGTCAAGCCGCCATCACATAATTGCTAACTGCATTCCTGTGAATTTCCAAAATGTGAAGAACATCACTGGCTGTATCCCCAAGCAAGGCCTGCCACTCGGGCACAGCTTCCATTTCTCAAGCTGAAAAACTGCTGGGCTCCAATGGGAAGGTTTGTCTTCCTTTGGTGTAGAGCCATGGGAAAGGAATGCCTCTTGCTTTGTGGCTGAAATTGCAGGTGAGCAGTTATGCTCAGGAATGCAGGTGCATTTGGCTTTCTGCACCTGGATATGGAAGGACTCAGCCAAAATCACCCATCCTTTGGGAACCTCAGCAATCAGCTACTATAATGGGTTGGGAGCAGGAGGGTGGGATATCCTTGAGAGCTTATTAACTTCATTTTTGTGCAGAATGCCGTGGCTAATTAAGTGCCAAAAGCAAGCTAGCTTAACTACATAGGCACTGTGTTATTGCAATTGCACTGGCAAGTTTGTTAGCTTCCAGGCACAGTGTGCTAGGATTGGCTTCTAGCTATTAGCCATGATAGGTAAATGGGAGTGGGTGCCGCTGTGGTCTAAACCACTGAACCTCTTGGGCTTGCTGATCGGAAGGTAGACGGTTCGAATCTGCACAATGGGGTGAGCTTCTGTTGCTGTATCCCAGCTTCTGCCAACCTAGCAGTTCGAAAGCTCACCAGTGCAAGTAGATAAACAGGTACCACTATGGCAGGAAGGTGAACGGTGTTTTTGTGTGCTCTGGCACTCGTCGCGGTGTTCTGTTGAGCCAGAAGTGGTTTAGTCATGCTGGCCACATGACCTGGAAAGTAGTCTGTGGACAAACACTGGCTCCCTCGGCCTGAAAGCGAGATGAGCGCTGCACCCCATTGTCACCTTTGACTGGACCTAAACATCCAGAGGTCCTTTACCTTACCTTACCTTTACCTATTAGCCATGACGGCCATGCTCTTCCTCCACTGCCAGAGGCAGTAATGCTTCTGAATATCATTAGCTGTAAACTGCAAGAGGAGAGGGTGCTTTTGTGCTCAAATAGTAGTTAGCCATCATCTTGGTTGATGTAGAAAAAAGGCACAAGAGAGAGAAGTAGCTGGGGATGAACTGCATTTCCCCAGGAACCTCAAATTGTGGTTTGAATGCTAGGGAAAGTTCGTAACTTTTCTCCAAGTTGCTCAGCATAGTGGAGTTTTATCTTCATGCCTAGAAGTCAGACTCATACAGGTGATTCACATGTAATGATCTGCACATAGTAAACCATTCCCAGCTGAGAATGAGAGTTGTGCCATATACTTCCCCCTTACCTTCCACATCCCTGTTCTACTCATGCACCAACTTCAGTAATCTATCATGTTTTGTTTAACCCACAGCTTCCTTCTGCATACAAACCAGGAAACTGTAGTTTAATCCCAGTGTACTAACCAGGAAATGAAACCAGGATCAAATACGTTTCTTTTAGCAGGAAAACCCTGAAGTCTGCAAGCCTGCCACAATGCACTTCCTCTCCACCCCTGTTCCACAGCAGGCTAGGATGATTCCTCTTGCATGAGACTAGATCAGGAGTGGCACCACTTCCTTCTCCTAGCTGATTTTCCCAGTTCTGTCTTTGGGGGCTGACACAGGAACTCCTTTGCAGAAGACTAAAGAGCTTCATGAGGTGTTGTCAGGGCTGGCTCAGAGCCCTGTGGCGAACCAGGAACTGGGGGCCAGAAGCTGTGGGTAAGGAACGAAGCAGAACAAAAACACAAAGCTGGAGGCAGCATCCAGGAGAAAACTTGAAGTCGAGGCCAAAGGATACAGGAACACACCAGAGCTCAAAAGCACCTTGTTGCTCAAGCAAGTTGTTGCTCAACTGGCACAGGAAGCCCTCTTATTTCTAGAAGGTTCCAAGGGCCAGCCAGGGTGCGTGGAGTCAGTTCAAGGTCTGAGTTGGAGTAGATTTATTTTACCTCATAAAAATTATGTCCTGCTTGATTGTTGAAAAAGCCTAGACCCGGTTTACAAAAATGAGAAAACAATAAAATTGTCACAATTTCCCCCCCCAACCATAATTTAAAATATACAAAAGATTAAAACCGCAATAGAATAGACTAAAACAAATTAAAACCCATACAAAGTTCTAAAAAACTGGGTAGGCTTGCCTAATAAGAATCCTAAGAGCCATGTTGCTTTGACAGACTGACAGGCTGCCCCTTTTGAAGTCTGGCCCATGAAAGTTCCCACCACTACTAAAAAAAACCTGGTGTTATGCACTGATATTATTATTAACTGCCCAGGGGTCATTTACCTTTACCTTTTACCTATTATGCAATGCACTCCCTGCTGAAATACAAGAGATGCCATCTGTATTGGTATTTTGTCTTCTTTTGAAGACATATCTGTTTCTACGGGCATTCCCATGATCTTTCAACCTGAGTCACCTGTTTAAATTATTTTGCTGTTTCGGTGGGATTGTTTCATTTTGTATTTTGATTGTGCATTTTAATTATGGATGTTTATATTTTCTTGCTTATATAATTGGTTTTTGTACTTGTGAACTGCTTAGAAGCCTATTTTGACATTGAATAGTAATAACCACAATGGCCATAATAGTAGTAGTAGTTCCCTAAAATACTGACTTTTCTTTTACATCTTGCCGGTCCAGTCAATGAAAACTTCAAGCTTGTCATCAGTGCAAATGTTCTTCCAAACAACCAAAAATCCAACACACACATAGGGGAGCACAAATTTTGCTGCATAGTTTGCCTGTCATCTGAGTCACTGCAAGGAAAAAAGTTTTTGTACAACCGAAACACATGACAGTTTGTTTTGACTATTTTCCATTTCCTCCTCTGATAGCTGAACGTTTCTGAGTAGTTTCAGTTTGGTATCACAATCAGGTCACAGATTCATAACAGGTCATAACTCAGTCTCATATCATCAGCATATACTTTTATTAAACACTGGCTGCTCTGTATCTAAAGAAAACAAGCTACTAGCCATAATTTATGACCTTCAGATGC